ATGCCTGGCACTTAGTGAGCAGCCCGCTATCCTTAGTTGCTGTTTTACAATAACAGCAAGCATCACTATCTTCATCGCCACTCAAAATCTCTGATTCTAAGGAATGTGTGCAATGAACTATGAAAAGGTTTTTAAATAGCTGCTGTTTGTACTTTCCTTCACCTGTCTTGAAATAGCAAAATGTTTTAATTGCCACTTTTCTCCTGCCCCCGCCTATGACCATTCCGGCCTCATAAATGTGAAGCTATCTTTTGGGGGACACTACATGTGGAAAGATACAATGAGGTTAAGAATCTTTTTATTGAAAAAAGATTGGGAGCTGGACCTTCCAGGAAGTCTCAAGCCACCAGTTCTCTTTCAAGTAAGGAGAGAATGACCTTTAGCCCACAGAAAAGGGGTAAGCTAAGCAGACGACAACACATGTGGCATTTCCATTGGACCTGACGATGACTGATCGGTTGAGAACCCAAACATGGAGGCCCTTCTTTATTTGCACAGCTGGAAAACACTCCATTAATTGTGATTTTTGAAGGAGAATCAACCAGTGCTTATTTAAAATCTTGGCATACTGAATGTTAGAGAAGGTCACCATGGCTTTGTGAAATATCTGAGCTAGTCAGTAGTCGGCCCTCTTTTCTGTGTTCCAGTTCACTTGTTTTTGAAATAGTGTGAACACAGAACTTTAAATTCCACCAGCCATTCTACAGTGGCAATGATTGTTTTAATGTATTTAAAATGGCTTGCTGCTTTGTCTCATTAGGGTTGCTTCCCTCAAGACAGGACCTACTTATGCATAAAATGAAATAAACTCACAAGCTCTAGGCCTCCCTGGATTTTGCTGGTAGACTGGAGGAGGCAGAGAACTATTGCAAGGGGGGTACGAATGTCCCCAGACATTCATTTCCAGAGGAAAGTGTCTGAGATCTGCTGGCTAAGAACTGTCTCCATGGCTACCAGACTCCCAAGGAAGAAGTCCTGCACAGATAGCAGGTTCTTAACCACTAACTCAGTAACAATGTGAGAGCCCTCATGATTCTTGCTCCCTCCCAGGGTCATTCTGTGGTCAGGCCCGGTGGGTTAGTTCTGCCTCCTTGGACTCTCCTTGGGTCTGCTCTGGTCCCTGAATGCTAATGCTTCATTTCACTGCAGAACTTGGCCGAGTCAGGGTGAAAATATGTAAGGGGGCCCTCTGGACCTCATGACACTTGAGATGAAAAATGTTATGCTGCCTCTATACTATAACAATCTGAGACTATAAACAATGATTTAATTAATGACCATAGAAGAATACTTGCTCACCGATGTTACGTGGTCCAAAACCCCTTAACTGACGCAACGTGAAGCCAATGTTTATATGGGCACAGATGACTGGAATATCACATTTTGATGGCATTGCTACTTTGAAGAGCGGCAAACAGTGACATTCCCAAGGCTCTTTACATAGAAGCAGAATGAGGAAGGTGAAACTATCGAGAGGGGCTAACTCTGGTAGCAAGGGAAATAACTGGATGTGGACAGGAAGGGAAGGAGAATTATCATGGAATCCACAGCCTGTCCAGCCAAGCAGCTACTATTACCTCCTTGGATTTTCTGCATTGCTGTACTCATAACTTATAAATCCTAAAGGCAATATTCTATAGCCGGGCCCTAAAATACTCCGAGTTGACTAAACTGTCTTCAAAAGGATGCCTCGAAGATTCTTATAAACAATGACTAAAACTAAATTATGGTGTAATATTAGTTGATTAAGACAAGACTTCAATTTGAGTAATTTTCATCAGCTGGACACAGACAGTGGTAAAAACAATAACCCATGACTAAATGCATACTAGCTGATGGAAGAATTGCAATCTGATGTGGCAAGAAATAACAGGAAATTTTTTTTTTAAATTTAAAAATGGAAAGAAACTTTTTTCAAGACCACAGAATAAAGGAAAAAATGGGAAAAGTATAGCTAACTCAAGGTTTTTAAATGTCAACAAAGTTCCAAAACTAATTTCAAGAAAGGCCTCTTCACTCAGAGGAACTCTGGGATCTACTTGGCCTCCATCTCCTCTGCCTGTGTTCTTCCTATAGCTCTCCCTGAAAGGAGGCCAAATGTATAACCCTGAGACAAGTAGAATTATTGACACCTTTTAGTGAAGCAAGCCAGACAATGAACGAAAACAATTGTAGAATGTGTTATTTTAGAGCTTCAAGGATATGTTAAAAACTTCCATGCAGCCCTTCCTTTTTCAGATGAGGAAATTGAGCCTTGCTTAAAAGACTGTTCAAATAAAAGCAGATAATTAAAGAAAATGCCAAGCAAAGGGAAAGATGGGTAGAGGTTTAAGAGCCTGCCTGTTCACCTATTCTTAGAGAACTTTCCCACACTCCCATCCACAGTGCTGAGTCCCCCAGAGCACTTATGTCTCCATGGGCTTCCTCTGCCCACACCCAATTCAGCAGGGAGAAAGAACTGGCCCAAGCTGGGTACCATAATCTCTTCACGGGGGTGAGAGGGTGAGGGAGGACATGAAATTAGACTTTAGATTTGCTAGTCAGCCTCGAATGGAAAAGATATACATTCTGCTTTCTTATATTGTGCCTTGCCCACAGTATTGTTGTGTGGATGGATGGGCATGCATGGTACGGGGTGGCCATTCCTGGCTATATGCATGCCATAGTAGGGAAGGTCTACCTACAGAGAAGTAAGAATGCCATGGACATGTCAGAAGAAACTGAGAAGGAATAGAAAAACAAAAACATGTCTTCCTTCTCCCTTGTGAGACCCAAGCTTCCCTTCCCACCAGGGTTCTGAGTCACTCCCCTCTCTCTCCAAAACGCCTTTTTAAATTTCAGGGAACAACTTTGGTGGCTTGCACCTAAAACAACTTTGTCTTAGGTCATGAAAACTGGAGCGAAGGCCCACAAAGCCTTCACTCAGTCCTCTTTTCTCCACTAAAGTCCAAACACTGGAGCTTTTATGAAGGATGGCTTGGGAGACCCATTGAAAGCAGACTGCTGAAATCTATCAGTCCCAATCTACTGTGCAACAGGACCTACCTTCCTTTATTAGGATTTAGAGTCGACTTACCTATTTTTTCAGACATCAAAGGAGTACACACTGTGGTACGAGGTTGGGCTCTGTCAGAGCACTCAAGATGAAATCAGAGTCAAAGGCTGCTCTCGTGGAGCTTGTAGCCTCAGAAGGGAGGCAAACAGGACCCAGAGATCAACATAACATGAGAGAATAACTCAGAGCACTTACATACCAGAGACCAAGCTACCAACTTTATTTATATGGCATCATATCATGCCCACAACATGCCTGAGGGGAAGGTATTGTCACCACCTCTGCTCTGTAGATGACATGACTCAGACCTACCCAGATAGGTTTGGTAACTTGCCCATAGTTGGTGGAGAGTGATTGCTCAATTTGGATACAAGGAGTCTGGACTCTCCCACCTATTAACTTGCTATGCTTTGCCTTCTTGGCTGCGTATAAAATGAAAAGAAGGCCTTCACAGACTGGGCAGCCCTATTACTGACTTTCCAGTGCTGTCCCCAAACTATTTGTTTCTGACATGCAACAGGGGATTGGTAATCAATTAACCTTATGAATATAAAAAAGCTAATGATTACTGAGCACCTCTTATGTCCTAGTATTGAACGAGGCACTTAATATGCACCATTTCATTAATAAGAATCAAAGGAAGAACTGGATACAAACTTTCAGTTAGACAGAAGGAATGAGTTCAAGAGATATATAGTATAACATAGTGACCATAGTTAATAACGATGTGTTATACACTTGAAAATTGCTAAGAGAATAGATTTTAGGTATTCTCATCACAAATAAATTATAAAGATGTAAGGCAATACATATGTTAATTAGCTTGATGTAGTCATTACACAATGTACTTATACTTCAAAACATCATGTTGTATGCCGTAAATATAAATAATTTTGTTAGTTAAAAAAATTAAAGGAAGAATTATTATTACCGTTACCATTTTGAGTATTTGAACATTGGGGCAAGTTAAAGTTGACCAACTTAATTAGTAATATAGGTAAAGTTATGCTATAAGAACATATCAAACTAAAAATCTCAGTGGCTCAACACAAAAGTTTATTTGTTATGAACACTATTTATAATCCAGTGTGGGTTGGCAGAGGCAAGGGACAGTGAAAGTCATCTGCTCCATGTGTTCACTCAGGGACCCAGGCTAATGAAGGCTGCTGTATCTCATGACTGTTCTGTCTGGACCATGTACCTTCAGAGTTCACTAGAACAGAAGAGAGTACCAACACCACCACACTAGCTCTCAAATGCTTTAGCCCAGAAATGACTCAGGTTGATTTCACTCACGCCCTATTGGCCAGAACCAGTCTTGAAGTCCCCACCTATATGCAAGAAGGCTGCGAATGATGAGAGAGCATATGGATATTTGATGCACAGTAAATGTCTCTGCCATAGTAATTCTCCCAAGGCTACTCAGCTACTAATCAGAAGAATGGAAAGACTTAACCACTCCACTTGACTATGTCCTCAAAATTTGGCGCTGGGCGTAGTGGCTCATGCCTGTAATGAGGCCACTTTGGCGGGCAGATCACTTGAGCTCCAGAGTTTGAGACCAGCTTGGCTAACATGGCAAAACTCCGTCTCTACTAAAAATACAAAAATTAACTGGGCATTGTGGGGCACACCTGTAATCCCAGCTACTTGGGAGGCTGAGGCACAAGAAACACTTGAACTCGGGGGGCAGAGTCTGAAGTAAGCTGAGATCGTGTTACTGCACTCCAGCCTGGGCAACAGAGCAAGACTCTGTCCACAAAAAAATAAAAAACAAAAAAACCCCATAATTTGGAAGAAACCATTTCAAGTCTATCAGTAATCACTTAGATACACCCAGACTCTACCTTAGAATTATTAGAACTCTCTACTTTCTCATGAATATTCCTAACTCTGCAAAAGTAGGTGGAAGTTATTCAGAGCCAAGCACGTTGGGAAGACCCACCTTTGTTGGCACAGGCCATCCACTTTAGATTGTCTGCAAATGCAGCCTCTCGTCCAATGAGGTATGTGAAGATGCGAACCTGAAAGGAAGACAAATGCATGGCTGAGTGGCATTCACTTTTTGCCATCCTGCGCAGATCACATGCATGGCTCACACACATGTGGCTTACCTCTTTAATGCTCCATGCTTCCCATCTGCAGGAACATATTTAAGACATCTGAAGTATAGTCAGCTAAAAATGTATTCAAAACAGGGGTCTTTGATCTTTTAAACCATATGGCACTGGTGGTGGCTGTTTTTCGGTGTGCAAGTCATGAGAGAGAAGAATAACTGGGAATGGGAGACTGGCAGCCTCATGGGCCTGGGCTTGCTTCACACATATGGACAAGTATCATCTAAGTCTGGACCAAATCCCTAACCATTTTCCCCATTCACACAGGAAATGCAGAGTGTGCTCTTCTTGGGAATAAAAACACCCCTGAAAGACCCTCAACATTTCCCTCCAATGGTGAGGACAGGTTGCAGATACTCTCTTACCATCTGTGGTGTCTGGCATGATATTAGAAGATAATTAACTGAGATGAGAGACACAGCCTGTGGCCAGGAGACCTATGGGGAATCTTTCTAGTCTTCCTAAGCTTTTGGTTCCTGAAGAGCAAAGAACATATGTAAAAACCTGGCTTTCTTATTTTCTATTGGTTTCTCAACCCTCTCTTATGAGGTCAGAACTCTTTGAAACAAAGCATGACCTACCTGCCAGATGGTATTTAAGGTTAAATGGAAAAAATATAAGGAATGAAAAGGTTAAAATCCTTTAATTCAATTTAAAATGGTATGTGGGTCAACACTACACAGTCCAAACAAAATCCTTCTGATGGGCCATGTGCAGCCTGTGGCCACCTCTTTGTGACTGAGGTCAATGAAGACATGGCATTAGATGAATGACACTCATCAGGTGGTATCAAAGGCTTTACCAGGTGATGTCCTTCCAGCTCCTCTAGTCTGGTGGGTCAAGTGCTCCTACTGCTCCTCCCCAGCCTTTGCTACAATTGTGGTTAGCTAGTATTTTGTGTAGCTGGTCTGGGAAGTCAATTTGCTTGCTAGGGTATCCACTTGACGAGGGAAGGAAGGGATGTCTCCTTTACCTGGCTGGGCCCTGATGGAACACTGCACTTGGAACATTGATACTCAATACATGGAGACATAAAAAGATATAAATGCCTACAGTGGATTGTAAAAATGAATATTCTGTTTTAATTATGCATATCCTCGAATCTGGGCATTGTAACTTGAAGGCTAGTTGTGAAGTAATGGTTTCTTCCCAACTTAAAGAGATATGTAAATGCACGTTATTATTAGGGAATGTCAGTCTGTGCTCATCTGTGCTTGGTAAGGCCATGACTTTATTTATCATAGCTCCTGCAAGGGGGCTTTCCGGGTGGATGGGCAGGCAAACAGACCTCTCTCCAGTCCTCTGGCTCTTCTCCACACCACTCCCATCAGAGTCACATTTGGGAGTGAGGATATGGTTGTTTTGTTTTGTTTTTTTAAATTGGGAGATTCTGGCTTCTCTTGGGGGGAACAGAAAGCAAAGATCCAGTTGGGCACAGTGGCTCACACCTGTAATCCCAGTACTTTGGGAGGCCGAAGTGGGCAGATCATGAGGTCAGGAGATTGAGACCATCTAGCCAACAAGGTGAAACCCCATCTCTACTAAAAATACAAAAAAATTAGCTGTGCGTGGTGGCATGCATCTGTGGTCCCAGCTACGCAGGAGGCTGAGGCAGGATAATTGCTTGAACCCGGAGGCAGAGGTTGCAGTGAGCCGAGTTTGCCCCACTGCACTCCAGACTGTGATAGACCATTCATGAAATTAACGAAAAAAAAAAAAAAAAAAAAAAAAAGCAAAGATCCAGCCTCATATTGCCAAAAGTGATTACCATTGACCCTGCTTCATATAGCTGCACCCTCTGTTCACTTTCTATGCCTGTCTACTGTCAGCACTTAACTGAGAATCTCTGATTGAGAGGAGAAACTGAGGCCCAGTTAAGTACAGTGTTTTGCTTAATTTCATCAAAGTTTCATCTCATGAGAGAGGACTTCTAAGACCTCAGGATAGCACTGGTATCTGTTTTCAACCTTTGGGAGATGCTGGTTTGGTCAATACAGATGATCCCAACCAGCTCCAAGGCCCAGAGCCAGCACACACAGAATCCAGGACGAACTGGAATCAAGTCTCTTGAGACCAGACCCATGCTTTCTCATAAATCTGTGTCTTTAATTTCAAATTTAAGCTCTTTAAAAGGGAAACACTAGACCAATAAAAACTTGTATCCCCACTGGCTCCTTGGCAAGCAAGAAAGCATAAGAGATGCCTCTGTGGAAATGAAGCAATGAGTCTATCTTTATAAACAAAGACCCAATACAGAACAACCCATATTTTTGAGCAAAGGTGTGTGAGTATCAGCCTCCTCTGCTGTCTAGATGAAGAACCTTCATATAAACTGAGTTCTCTTGGAGACATAGTTAAAACTCCAGAACAATACTGTGAATCACTAGCAAAACTTCTATAACTCCTCATTTAAAAGACGGCATCCTATTTGGAAAACCAGTAGGATCACGCCAAACTTCAGATCAGACATGGCTGCTTAAGAATAATTGTGCTAACAATAACCACAATAATGAAAACCATCACCACATCCCCTACCTCACCAGCACAGTCCTACCATGACCACCACCACCACGGTGGCTACTACAATCAGCACCATCCCCTGGGTCAGGTAATGTGCTGAGGGGTTTATGGGTATTATATTTGTTTTGTTGGTTTATATGTTATTTTATTGCTTATGAAAGAAAATCAGAACAATGTTCAATATTTCCATTGATTTGTAGTCCTTGGCTCCCAGTACACTGACCTCCTTATCTGAGCAGAAATGGCATGAAAATGACTTGTTGCATGCCTGCCTACAAAATAAACATAATCAAAGGATGCTGGGTTCACACCCTACATCTCTCATAATAATGCCTTTCAACTGACCACAGAAGAAAAGAGATTTTACTTTAAAGTAGTTTAAAGTAGGAAATATTTTGGAGAGAAATTTAATAATAGCATTTTATATTTGTGTATTTTTCTTTTACATAGTAATTCCACCCCTAAGCATTTATCTTATAGCTGGAACAACAAATAAAATGCTTACAGGGACTAAGAGACAACAAAAATGACAGAAGTTGTAGAAGAGAGTACATATTTTCTGGAAGCCCTAGAATTCAGATTTAGACATTTTCAAAAATACACAATTAAGAGTACATGGATGTTCACCTTCATTACTTGTAAAGGTCAAAAACTGTTAAATTCTAAGTCTTTCTTGATAGCTGACTGGCTAAAAGTTCATGGTGCATTCGTGTAGTGGGCTATCCAGCAGCTATGTCCTCATCCATGATGCACTGGTAAAAGTGAAAAGCAAGTTGTGCATTTTGTGTAGCACAAAATTCTATTTTTTTCTAAAAGCAGCCTCACACTTTTTATTTCATAAATTTTATACCATTTTACAAATAAACTAGCATTGCTTTAATAATTAAAGATCATTTTAAGTGAAAAGAAAGTAATGACATTGCTATTTCCTGAACAATTCTGTTAGGACACAGGAAGAATAAACGTTGCAGTGAAAATCAAACACAAAAAAGAGATGACATGTGGCAATTACGTCCTGGCCTTGCATATTCCAGTTAGTGCTGCCTTATGCTACTGCTCATTTAACTGAGTGCAAAACCTCTGTGAACAACAGTCAAATCGCTCCCAATTTCCATCGTTAACAGATTCTATAACCTAATGGATCTTATTTCCAACAACTGGAGTTTCTTCCCTAGGAAGCACCACATAACAAACTTTCAGTGGTCTGCCCTGAGCCCAGCTACTTTTCTGATGCAGTGAGTGTGAAGCAGACCCAGATCTGGGGTGGTCCTGAAGGCCAGGTACACAGCACAGACAATCATGGGAAGGTGCTGTGGCATAGTTCTGGCCTACACCAGATCTCCCTGGAAAGCCAGGCTTTCATGCTCATCATCTGCAGGCATGGAGCGCACCACTTTCATTAATGCAGCTCAAAGGCAGGGGTAAAAAGAAGTCTGCATCAGCCTATTCGCTCATTTTGATCTCCCACTTAAGTTTGGATGGTCTTTAAATGTTCTACGAACCCAATTAAGCTTAATAAAACGTTAAGATGTAGACTTTCAAAGTTCAAAGTCACTTACTTTAATCTACTTAATATAAAATTTCCCCAATGGAACAAACAAAAAACTCATCCAGATTTTTCAAAAAAGCAATTATGCTTTTTACTCACATAGATGCAATCCCCATCAGAAACTGAGAGGGGTACCCTTCTTCTTAACCTTTGGGGAAGATATAGTGACTTTGTAAAGATAATGAATCAAATTTTCTCCTTTCTGCAGCCATTAAAATTAGGGGAGGGAAGTGGCTACCAGGAGAGTTATATGGGGCAATCGCACACACAGAAAATAGGCTGCTGCTGCCTGCAGATCTCCCTTCAATAATGAAGAAAGCCTTGTGCTTCTGAGAGAGTCCAAGAGTAGCAGTTTGTCATCTATCACGTGTAACTCATGAGTGCCTACCATGTGCCAGGGACCATTCTTGGTCCTGGATAAACTACCATGGATAAACAAAACTAACTCTGCCCTCAGAGACTTCACATTTTCTTGGGAGGGAAACATAACAAATGGTAAATTCATATAGAATGTTTATGTATTTGTTGGATTAAATGCTGATAAAGAAAATAATGCAAAGTAAGGTGATGGAGAGTGATGGGGGCTGCATTTTTAGAAAAGGAAGACAGGAAGGTCTTCCTGATAAGATGATATTTGATCAGAGATCTAGACAAAATGGAGTGGGGGAGAAGGAATACGCCACATAGCTAATGGGAAAGAGCATTCCAGGTGAAGGGAACAAAAGGTACAAGGTCGCTGTGACAGGGAAGCTCCACGGATATTGAAGGGGCTTGTGTTAATGGAATATAGTCACCTAGCAGAGGTTGCAGGAAATTAACTTGGAGATACAATGGGTGC